GCAGGTCGAGGCTGCGGTGGCTGGGAGTGGCCACTGCACTCCAGTCTGGGTGACCGAGTGAGACTCCAACTCAAAAAAATAAAATAAAATGTAAACTTAACTGGCAGCCTGCATTTTTATTTGTTTAATCTGGCAACCCTGGAAGCACACTAAACCTTATAGATGGGCACCTGAGGGTGACTCACAAGCTATCCTGTAAAGGCACAGGGAGCTTGGCAAGTGGTGCACTCCCTGTCAAGGCTGTATGTAGCTGTGGGCCAGTTAACCACTTGCTGGGTGTCGTAGAGGGACTTGGGTTCCAGTGAGATTTTAGGAAGTAAACATTGTCGAGTCAAGGGGGAGAATTATTTGCCTGGGTCCTCACTGAGCTCTGACCCATGCAGGGTTAGGATGCTGTTTCTGAAATCATTTGCTGTCAGCCTGGTGTTGAGATGATCAGTTCTCCCCACTGCCCAGGAGTGATGGATGACTGTGGCCAGCTGGTGGAAACCAAAGCAGCCCAGGATGGCGTCTCTGAGTGGTCTAGCTTGGCGCTTGAACAAGCACTATGTTAAAAGTGAGATGAAACAACACTTTTTTGTCCCCCTTGCGGAGAATTGACAGCAACTTCCTGGTTCTCCATGTGTCCCCTGAAGCAAAGTGTGACTTCTGTGACAGGCTGAGGACTGACGTGCCCCACGTTATTCCCAAGCCATGACAGCGTGAAAAACACTCAGTCCCCCCCACCAGATTCTGCACAGGCCCTCGCAGCCAAGTGAGTGGAGGCAGGAGCATGGGCGTTCGTTTCTTTGCCTTTTTAGAGATTCTCTAGGTGTAGCTGCATCTTGTCAGCCAGTCAGGATTTAAACACAGCCAGCTCGTCATCGCCTCAGCGTGGCTTCTGCCCACTGCAAGTTACCCCTAGCAAAGGTTTAGTCCTCGGCAGGGCTCCTGCTTGAGGGCTCATTGTGGTGCTAGCCTGGGCCTGACAGTCAGAAGGCAAAGCTGCAAAAGTAAACTCATATTCTGTGTTCCAAAAGCAAACAGAGATGGCATTCTCTGGTTATTGCTCCCCTCCGTTTGAGTGTTCTAAGTTTGATTTGATTATTAAATCAAATCACTTAATGTTATTAATTAAATATGAAATGTTAGAAACCAAGTCAAACTGCCTATTACAGCAATGGGAAAAAAAGTAAAATTTGTGCTGATACTGTTCACTGAAACCACCTGTTGTCTTTATTCTTTCTGCTTAATTGATGTGTTTGAAAATATCAAGAGCATCTCACTTGTGTCTTCCAGAAAGAATCATTGAATGGCTCTCACTTGACAACATGCACCACCAGTGGCTTCTGTTGGCCGCATGCTTCTGGGTGATTTTCATGTTCATGGTGGCCAGCAAGTTCATCACGTTGACCTTTAAAGACCCAGATGGTAGGTATGCTTCCTGGTGGCATGAATTTTGGCTAATTCAGGCCTTTCTGCACCACTGTTTCTAGGTACTTGCACAGATGACCTCTTTTCACAGAATCACAGAATCAAGGGACTTTAATGCCAGGGACCTTGGAGGTCATGGCATCCAAACCCTTCATGTTACAGAAGTGTGAGGGGAGGGTGGAGGGATGGAAGGATCTTTCCAGCACCTTCTCTAGAGGGCGGAAATGCTCTCTGTGCCAAGGAGCAGGGCTTAGACCTCCTCCCAGTAATGCTGCAGGCCTCGGCCTGGGTTTTTTCTCTGCCTCATGTCATCAGAGAGACACGGCTGCAACTGCTCAGTATGCCTGTTCTGCCATCTGGTGTTCCACACTGGTGGCCACATGTTTGAAGATCACCTTTGGTGTGGTAGACGGAAGGTCAGTTAAATGTATGTTGTCAGGCTGTCTCAAAGGATTTTTTAACTCCCCTTTTCTGAACATAGACATTGGATGAGGACGTTTAGATGGCGCCAAATTCCATCTCAGAGTTGCTGCTTCTGCTTCATGCTGTTGTTGTTTGCTTGCCTAAGCTGTGTGTTTTTTTTCTATAAAACGGACACACTGCCTGCTCAGGCAGCCTCCCATGATTGACCTGAGCCTGGTGGGGTGCTCTGTTGTGTGTGGAATGCTGGGTATGTGATGTGGCTTATTGCCAACTGTGCACAGGCCTGAGCACTTCTGCCTGTTGGGGAGACACTTGGGAGCGTAGGTGAGCACAGCGTCTTTATTCTGTCCGGTGCTTTGAACATCATCCTGCTGATGGTGACCCTTAGCGATACAGCCAGGCCGGGCGTGGTGGCTCAAGCCTGTAATCCCAGCATTTGGGGTGGCCAAGGTAAGGGGATTGCTTGAGCCCACAGGTTTGAGAACAGCCTGGTCAACTTGGCGAGACCTCGTCTCTACAAAAAATATTTTAAAAATAGGCAGGCGTGGTAGTGTGTGTCTGTAGTTCCAGCTACATGGAAGGCTGAGGTGGAAGGATTGCCTGAGCCCAGCAGGTCAACACTGGGGTGGCCATGAGTGTGCCACTGCAGTCCAGCCTGGGCGATGGAGTGAGATTCCAACCCCAAAGAAAAAAAAGTGAAATGCCCCCACACCAGCAGTTCTTCCTTTTTACTCCTGTGACTATGCCCACTTGTGCTGACTGTGTGACCTGTGAGCTCCAGGGAATTCCCAGGTGTGTCCCTGGCTATGCTGAGGCCTGCTTGGTGCCCCACATCCCCCGCCACACCCTCTGTCTGCCCAACCCTGTCTACAGAAGGACAACAAGGCTGAAAGGGAGACCTGCAGGGAAAAGAGAGACACCCTGAACGTAGCCCATGTGTTGGTTCTCCCCCCACAGTTTGCACTACGTGACAGTGACCTTACCCCTGGTGCTGGAGCCCCACCTGGCTGTCATCACAAGTCCTATGTCATCTTCCAGGGGCCTGCGTAAGAAAATGTGTGAGGTTTGCACAGTCTCAGGAAGGTGGTATTATACCTGCAAGTATCTGGGATGGTCAGGGCATCACAGATCATCACAGCTGTCACCAGGCACTGGGAGCTCTGTCAGCAGAGCAAGGGTTGATTCTTAAAGGATTGGGATTAGAGACATTGATTTCAGCTTGGCAGTTTGGACATTTCTGCAGAAGCTTGTACACGGTGACTTGCCACTGGTAACTGAAGACCTGTAAATGGTAATTTAGGACCACAAAGGTAGATCATAGCTGGGAAATTGAAAGAGAAACGAGCTGCTGAGAATAGAAAATAGAGGTTACTCCTGATTCCTACAAGGAAGTCACTCAAAAGGCAGCTCATGAGGTTAAATTGTTCATTGCTTGTTTAATAAAATAGGAGTATAGGTAATATAATTTAGTGAGACTTCCATCAGTAGTTGCTAAATAGAATGTGTGCCCTTGTGTTTTTTGTTGGTTTGTTTTTTGTTTTTGAGTTGGAGTCTCACTCCTTCGCCCATGCTGGAGTGCAGTGGCACACACGCTCATGGCCACCCCAGTGTCGACCTGCTGGGTTCCGGTGATCCTTTCGCCTCAGCCTTCCGAGTAGCCAGAACTGCAGGTGCATGCTACCACACCCGGCTGTTTTTTATTTTATTGTAGAGACGAGATCTCGCCAAGTTGCCCAGGGTGGTCTTGAACCTGCGTGCTCAGGTCATGCATTCGCCTCGGCCTCCCAAAGTGCTGGGATTACAGGCTGTGCCACCGAGCCCAGCCAGCCCCTGTGTTTTAATATTACTGATAGAATAGTCTCTAAGGAATACCTTGTTTCCCAGCAGTGTCAGAAAAATGAGGTCTCGTTCTGCTTTGATGTGGCATGTTTTATGTGAACGTTTTTAGAAAAGCATAGACGTCGGTCTTGGAAGCAGAGAAGCAAAGCTGGGTCAGGCCTGGTTGGTACTTGGATAGGAACTGCCTGGGGATATCGGGTGTTGCAGGCTCAAAAGAAAAGTATAAATGCTGGACAGGGTTTTGTGAAGAGGAGAAAAAGTGTGGTAGGGAGCGAGAGAAGGTAAAAACTATGAAGAGAGATGAAAGGCTTTAGGATTTTAAGCTGGAGAAAAGCCCTGTGGTCATCCTCAGTACTGCTCGCCAGGTATATTCCACTGCTTGCCTTAAGGTGAGTGGTGGGGGCACTTTCTTTGCCCTCTGAAATTTGGTACATGTGGATGCTGGGTCAGTGAGAACCTCCCAGAGCCTCACCGGCTCCCTGTGTCTGGGGAGGATTTCAGCCCTTCTGTGGATCTCAGGGCAGTGCAGGAAACCCAGAGAGGTTCATAAACACTTGGCCGTGAGGAGTTTTGCACACACTGGAGTTTATTTCACACATGCTCACAGTGAAGCCCATTATGAAACATCATTACAAGGAAACAGTTCACAATGCAGCGGGATCTTCTGTGATGGAGCTCTGCTTTCTGTAAAGTGTATGAAACATGTCTGGCCCCCAAGTTTGGGGACTAGGGTAACTCACCTCTCAGCTCTGTCCTCTTGGAAACGGACCCTGCTCCAGAACCCCAGTCAGTAGCCACGTGTGTTTTCTTCTCTTCTTCATGGTTTCTTCTGCCATTTGAGCCGATAGGGAAGAGCCTGTTGGTCTTGAACTGCTGTTTAAAGCAACACTTACCATTTTTATAGTGTTCTGATCTCTCTTCAGCTCAGCAATGGAGCCACCGTGATGTGTGTGGCCATAATCTATCTTTGGTTAACAAATTTCAGTGTCACATTGAATTAGGATGAGGTGCTATAGCTAGACTTTATCATAGGAAAATAAGTCCCTATCCGTGATGGGAATTTGATAAAATGGTTAAGTCAAGACTCAGAATCAAATATGACGTCCTTGCGGATCTGCTGTGTGTTCATAGACACTGGTTTTTCTTCTGTTTCCTATTTGACTTCCTCTTCCACCTCGGCAGCCCCTCGACTCAGTTGTAAGCCACTTGAGGGCAGAACCCAGGACGTGAATATCTCTGTACACCCTGAACATCTTTTCATGTGTTTATTTGCCATCTGTGTGCCCTTTCCAGGAAAATGTCTGTGTTTTGCCCATTTTCTAATTGGATTGTTTGGGTTTTTTAACTGTTGAGTTTTGAGAGTTCGTTATATAGTCTAGATACTAGTCCTTTGTCAGATGGACTCGTTTTTAAAAAAAAAAAACTTGTAAATATTTTCTCCCTGCCTATTGTTTGCCCTTTCCTCTTTCAAATGGGCTTTCAAAGAGCTGATTTTATCCTGTTTTGTTTTTTTAACTTTTAATTTTTTGTTTTAAAGATGTGGGGTAAAATTCAGGGTTAGGTATACAAATGTTTATTATGCAGATACCCTTGTTGATGAGGTGTACCCACCCCTTGCCCAAGCAGATTCCCACTACTGCCAGTCTCGCTTCCCCACCCCCCTCCCGGCAGTTTCCCGCTACTGCCAATCCTTTTCTTATAGTATTATGATAATTGTTTAAGTTCTGCTGATGAGTGAGAACGTGTGATACTCAGTTCTTTGTTCCTGTGAAAGATCACTTAGTATTATAGACTCTAAATCTATCCAGGTTGCTGTGAAGTTCATGATTTTGTTCTTCTTTATGACTGCATAATATTCCATCATGAATATGTACCACATTTTTTTATCCAGTCCTCTTTTGATGGGCAGCATGGTTGGTTCCATGTTCTGGCTACTGTGAACAATGCTGCAATAAATATCCTGTTTTGTTTTTTTTTTTAAGTTTTATGTTTCACCTCTAACTGTGATTTGTTTGAGCTTATATTTCAGTAAGGTATATGGATTAGATAAAGGTTCTTTTTTTTGTTTGTCTGTCTATAAATGTCCAGTTGTTCCAGCACCATTTGTTGAAGAGATTGTCCTCCTCCATTGAATTGCTTTTGCACCCCTGTCAAAAATCAGCTGGGCGTCCTTGTGTGGATTTGTCTCAGGCCTGTGTTCTGTCCCCTCATTCTGCATGCCTGGCTTTCCTGGAGAAGACATTTTAACCTCTCTGTCTTCCAGTGTACAGCGCCAAACAGGAGTTTCTGTTCCTGACAACCATGCCAGAAGTAGAGAAGTTGCCAGAAGAGAAGCACTTTCCAGAGGACCTGAAGGTGGGCACAGCCAGGCAGGGGGCATGGTCCCCTCTGACAGGGACGTAGCTTTCCTCAAGGTGCCCTCGTGGGTGTCCGTGTCTCATGGAGCTGGCCTTCTGGTCTGTGCTCTTCCATAGCTGGCTTCCACGTGTCATGGCATTCTGTTTTATAGCAGTTGCTTGTGTTACTTCTGTACATTTCAGTTCACCTTTCTAACTATTTGAGGGCAGCACAAGGTCACATTATTTCTATGTTCCTCACGGTGCTTTGCACATCATGGGTGCACTGCAAATGTCGGTGGTGCTGAATTCCTGAGCAGCCAAACATGAGCCTTGCCAGGGGAATGGAGTGTGTTGGGTGCGAGGTCAGGAGAAAACTGGAAGTGGGGAAGATCGTGGAATTTTAGAGTGAGGAGGGGTCTTGGACGGCAGAGCAGCTAATCCAACCTCTGAATTGTGTGGACGAGAGAGCTGAGGCTAGCAACAAGGCTTATCCTCTAAAGTTGCATGGAGTTCCCGACAAATGACATTAAAACCCAAGGCTGCTAGCTTTCACTCGGCTCTTGCCTTCCTTGACGTTCTGACTCTACGTCTTTCTCGGCAGTCTCCTTTTGCACATAAGTTCCTAATCATTCCCTAGTGAGGATGTGGGATGTTCTCTGCGAAAGGCCCCTCTTCCTTGCTAAGCCCCATTCTGGGTCTGGAAGGTTGAGGTTGCCGTTGTGCCAGAAGGAATGAAGTGGGTATAGCAAACCCTAAAAATGTGTGTCAGCCCAGAATTAAGCTGTAGAGATGGGGACAGCTCCTGTCTGTGGTTCAGAATATAAGGATTACAAATTAGGACCCAGTAAACGTGGAAGTAAAGCATAGAAGCATATATCTGGTCAGAGTAGAGTGCTGTTGGTTTACTTCTCCCAGGACATTGATGTAATAGAGATCAAGTCTGCAGAGCTTTGAGTCAGCTCAAGATGCTTTTAGACTGAGGCATCCCAGGGTAAGAAAGAAACTTGGGTGGGCTACAGAGCCAAGAAAATGAAAAGCCCTATAGAAAAAAAGTAGGAGTGCAGCTTTAATAGAATGAGTTAAGGAAATGATTCGTTAGGTGGATAAAAACACAGGTAGGGTAAGTCTTTTGCAAAGTATTTTGAAACAAGGGCCTCACTAGATGGTGCACCTTGTGAGGAAGAGCACTTATCCTCCCGGTGGCCACTCTTGGTGTGGAGGACACTCTTCCTGTAATTATGGGTGAATAAGCTGCCTAACTATGCTTTATAATTGCAAAGCACTTTACAGGGTTTTAATCTCATTGATTCTCTGAGCAACCCTCTCAGGTGTATTTTTATTCTTAGTTTGCATTTTGTGCTTGTCGGCCCATTTGTGCTAGACAGCAAGTCAAGGTCCTGAACTTGAACTCAGTGTTCTCTGTGCCCATCTCTTCCCACCCTGCCCCACTGATTCTCATGAAACTCAGATGCGAGGTTGGGGAGTAGTTATTAGATGTGATGTCCCCCTTAGGTGACATTAAAACTTTCCCACAAGAAAGACAGTTCATTAAGGAAACCAGGTTCTCGAGCTCACCTTTAAAAGTTCATGGTGTAGCCGGGCTCGGTGGCTCAGCCTGTAATCCTGCGCCTTTGGGAGGCTGAGGTGAGTGGATTGCCTGAGCCCGCGGGTTCCAGACCCGCCTGGGCAGCGAGACCTCATCTCTACAATAAATCAAAAAATCAGCCGGGCGTGGTAGCGCGTGCCTGTAATTC